TCTTTCCTTCCTTCCTTCTCTCCTTCCTTCCTCTCTCTTTTCCTCTTTCTTAGTTTTCTTTTTCCTTTTTTGTCTTTCTTTCTTCTTTCTTTTCTTTCTTTCTCCTTCCTTCCTTCCCTCTCTCCTTCTTTCCTTTTTTCCTTCTCTCTCTTCTTCTCCTTCTTAGTTTCTTTCTCTTTCTTTCTTTCTCCTTCCTTCTCCCTCTCTTTCCTTCCTTCCTTCCTTCTTTCTTTCCTTCTTTCCTTCCTTCCTGTTCTCATTTTTGTCTTTCTTAGTTTCTTTCTTTCTTCCTTTCCTTTCTCCTTCCTTCCCCTTCCCCTTTCTTCCTCCCTCCCTCCCTTCTTTCTTTCTCCTTCCTTCCTTCCTTTTCTTCCTTTTTCTTCTTTCCTTCTTTCTTCTCTCTCTTCCTCTTTCCTTCCTTCCTCCTTCTTTCCTTCCTTCCTTTCTCTTTTCCTCTTTCTTCGTTTCTTTTTCTTTTTTTGTCTTTCTTTCTTCTCTTTCTTTCTCTTTCCTTCCTTCCTTTCTTCCTTCCTTTCTTCTTTCCTTCCTTCCGTCTTCTGTTTTTCTCCTTCTTAGTTTCTTTCTCGTTCTTTCTCTTTCTTTCTGTTTCCTTTCTTTCTCTTTCTTTCTTTTTCATTCATTCTTTCTTTCTTTCTTTTTCTTTCTTTCTTCTTTCCTTCCTTCCTTCCTTTTCTTTCTTTCCTCTTCCTTCCCCCTCCTCTCCCCCTTCATCCTCCCTCCTCCTCCTTCTTCTCCTTCCTCGTCCTCCTCCTCCTCCTCCTCCTACTCCTTTCCCTCCTCCTCCGTCTGTGCCATTTCTCGCTTTTCCCCTTTGCACTTTTATCCGCAGTCATTGCTTTTGTCTCTCACTAACTTTTCTGAAACCCGATTCTTTCGGGGACACTTGACGACGTGCGTTTCCTACAGGGAGGCAGCCGCGTTCGAGCAAGATCTGGTGAGATGTGAAAAGCTTGTTCTCCCTCTGCCTGGTGTGCTGGTCTCTCTCTCTCTGTGTCTGTGTGTCTCTGTCTGTCTGTCTATCTCTGTCTGTCTCTCTCTCTCCCTGTCTCAGGGAAGCATCAGTAAATCTCAAACAAGCACCCCCTTGTGCACAGCTCAGGCCAAGGGAGGCGCAGACCCTCCCTTCTGCCTACAGCCGCCTGCTCTGTAAAATATCAACGCCGTGTTTCATCACGTCCGCCCCGTCTGCAGACCTGAGCTGCTGCGGCCTCTTCGACGGCATCTCGAATCCGCCACGAGAAACGTGTGTGGTGGAAAAAGTTCCTGCCTATAGATTTCTCAAACACACGATCATTCACGCACATGGTAGGTGTCTCGTGCCTCTGCCTCTAAAGGGAAGCACAGGGAGGAACCGAAGCTCTGGGCGAGAGAAGGGAAAGGGCTTCAGGTAAGAGGTTCGAGGTCAGCGCTTGGAGTTGGAGTTTACACACACGTGAGGCAGGGACGTGTTCGTGACTTCAACGTGCTGGATTTCAAAGCCGTTCGCCGGCCACGTGGCCATTACAGTTCAGGCTTCGGTTGAACAAGGGCCTTTGAGTCATTTCCCTGAGGCTGAGGGGCCTTGAACGACCCCAGCTCCTGCCTCTGCCGTCCCCATTCTCGTTCCTGGAGGCTGGAGACCCTGGTACCGCGGAGCTTCCTACGGGGCAAGGGGTGCAGGTGGCAGCCAAAGGCAGCCGGGCTGGGTGCTGCGGTTCTTACCGTCCTCCCCTGCCAAGGAACCGCGGGTCTGGGACGGCCTGGGCCCCATGGGACCCCCAGGAAGGCCTGGTGCTGGGACTGGGGGAAGACAGCTGGGCCGGGACGAGGGAGGGTGTGTGAGCGACACAGAGAGCAGCTGTGACGGGTTCACCGCACGGTCCCTGGGGACCCGGTCTCCCAGCCGAGGAAGAGACGGGGACGGGGAAGCCGTCAGAACAGTGACCCGGCCGCGGAGGACCCCCCAGAGAGTTGTTCTAACCCAGAGACCCTTCTCCAAATCTGTCTGTCTCAGTCTTACACACACGCCCCCCACCCCACCATCACTGCTGTCCCCCCACGGCTCTGCCGTCTCCCACAAGCACAGGGCTCAAGTGTCATCCTGGGTCCCCAGGGCCTGCTGGGGAGGAAGACGAGCCCTGGGTCATGGAGGAAGGACAACGGGGAAAGGGGCTCCTCCCGGGCACGAACCGGCCTCCTGGTGCCCGCGCCCCTGCTCACCCTCCCGGCCTCTCCCCCCGACGGCTCTACCGGCGAGGAGCCTTTTTTGCATAATACATGGAACTATTTGTAATTCTCTGTGATATCTCCAGGCCCCGCTTTGATGGGAGGGCGCGGTGACAAAGCCCTGTTTGTTGAGCTTCCAGGAGCTTCTCTGCCTTGGGTTTTGAAGTCTGGGGAGGTGGCAGCTCCCGAATGATGGGGACCAGGCGGTGAGTGGTGGGGGCAGAGTGACCCGGGAGGAGAAGGGGGAAGGAGGGGACAGGCGGAAAAGGGGGGAGGCAGACGGAAGGAGAGGTAGGTGGAGGCAGAGAGGGCAGGAGGAAGAGGGAGAGGGAGAAGGAGGCAGAGACTGAGCAACTCAGGGAGGGGGAGACAGAGAGAGAGGAGAAGGAAAGAGGGAGATGGACGGGGAGAAATATGCAGGGGAAGAGGGAAAGGAAGGAGGAAAAGAGAGAGAGTGAGGGAGGAGGGAAAGGGGTAAAGAGGAAGGAGAGAGGATGTGGGAAGGAGAGAGACACGGCAGACAGCGGGCCTGGGGGCCAGGGGTCTCTGGGAGGGAGGGAGGGAAGGAAGAAGGAAAGGACCCGGGTTAGGGAGGGAAGTGTGAGGAAGAAACGGAGGAAGAGAGGGGGGAGAGAAAAGGAAGGAGGGAAGGAAGGGGAAGGAAGAAGGAAGGAGGAGAAGGAAGAAAGGGAAGGAAGAAGGAAAAAGAGAGAGGAGGAGAAAGGAGAGGCAGGAGAAAGTAGAGAGGAAGAAAGACAAGAGAGGAAGGGAAAGGGGAGGAAGGAAGGAGGGAGGGAGGAAGGGAGGGATGGAGGGAAGGAAGGAAAAGAGAAGGAGGAGGGGGGAGGGAGAGAAAGAAGGAAGGAGGAGGGAAGGAGGGAAGGAAGGAGGGAGGGGGAGAAGGAAGGAAGGAAGAGGGAGGGATGGAGGGGAAGGAGGGAGGGAAGGAGGGAAGGAAGGAGGGGGGGAGAAGGAAGGAAGGAAGGAGGGAGGGATGGAGGGAAGGAGGGAGGGAGGGAAGGGGGGAAGGAAGGAGGGGGGGAGAAGGAAGGAAGGAAGGAAGGAGGGAGGAGGGGAGGGATGGAGGGAAGGAAGGAGGGGAAGAGGAGGGAGAGAAGGAAGAGAAGGAAGAGAAGGGAGAGAAGGAAGAAGCCGAGCGAGGGAAGGAGGCAGGCAGGGAACAGGACGGCGGTTTCTCTGGCTCCTCAGCGCCTCCCCCTTCCCCTCAGCCCGTGAACCCCCAACGTGAACCTGACCTGGGCTGCTGGGGGCCCCTTCCCTGCTCCCCGGTGTCCGGGAAAAAGACTCAGTTTCTTTCCACGGAACGAGCCCAGGGCCCGGCTCCCGAGCGCCAACCCTGGGCGCCTTCGAGGCTGGGCGGTCCCCGGAATCTCCCTCAAAAAACGGTTAACGGAACCTGTCCCCAAAATCACACCTTCCTCAGGAGACTCCCCAACTCCACACGCGATGGGAGAAGGAGAGTGAGGGCGTGTTACAGAAAGAGAAAGAAAAGAAAGAAAGAGAAGAAAGAAAGAAGGAAAGAAAGGAAAGAAAGAAACAGAAAGAAAGAGAAAGAAAGAAAGAAAAAGAAAGGAAGGAAAGAAAGGAAAGAAAGAAACAGAAAGAAAGAAAACAAAGAAAGAGAAAGAAAGAAAGAAAAAGAAGGAAGGAAAGAAAGGAAGGGAAAGAAAAGAAAAGAAAGGAAAGAAGGAAGGAAGGAAAGAAAGAGAAAAGGAAAGAGGGAAGGGAAAAAAACCTCCACTTTATTTGTAGAAGGTCCTGGGCAGGAACCGTGGCGCGTTTGGTTTCCAGGACTTGGAAAACGAATTTCAGATCGCGACGGCCAACACCGGCTTCCCCTAAAGCGCATTCAATAGCCACAGCAGGAGCACATCCCGCAATGAAAACCACAATCACAAGTATTTTTCCCCCCCAACCCCAGTAAATACCCAGACCCAGGGTGACAGCGCGGCGCTAAAGGGTGGAGGCCTCGCTCCGGGGTCTCCGGGGTCTGGCGCGCGCGGAAAGAATCGATGTTTTACGAACCGGATCTCCCGGGGACCTGGGCTTCTTTCTGCGGGCGCTGGAGACCCGGGAGGGGGCCCCCGGGAAATCCTCGGCCTCCGCCACCGCCTCCCAGGCGCCCGCGTCCAGGTTTGGGGACACCCGGTCCGTGTTCTTCTCCCTTTAGGGGATCCCCCAGCTGCGCGCCATCTCACCATCCCTCCATCCAAGCGAGCGCCGCCACCAACTTGGAGCTCATCCTGTCCCAAGATCGCGCGTCCCCGGCTCGCCCGGGTCCCCTCCGCGTCTCGCCATCTCCGCCCCGGTGCGCCCCGGGCGCTTCCTGGAACGATCCAGGCTCCGGGGCTCGGCTCTCCTCCACGTCTGTGTGTGTCTCTCTCTGTGGAGGAAAAAGCTGGAGTTTGCTTTCTTTCAGCCACGGAAAGCACGCGGGGTAACCTGTGTGTGGGGGGGGGTGGGGGGGACTCGGGCGCCTCTGCGCCCCCCTCCTGCGCGCGCGCGCGGTCTCCCTTCCCAAAATGGGATCTTTGCCTCTTCGCACCAAGGTGTCCGGACGCCAAACAGTGATGAAATGAGAAGAAAAGCCAATTGCGGGCGTTGAGGGGGGGTGGGGGGGTGGGGTGGGGGAGACACAGCGTCTCTGCTTGTGCGTCCGCCGCGGAGCCCGGAGACCCGTAATTGCACCAGACAGGCAGCGCACGGGGGGGGGGGGCTGGGCGAGGTCGACGCATATAAATAGTGAGATTTCCAATGGAAAGGCGTAAATAACCGCGGTGGTGAGATCCACCCGCGCGCACCGGGCCGTCCTCTCCGCGCGCGGGGAGACGCGCGCGCACCCACCCGCCCCGGCTCGTCGCCAGCCCCCGGCCCCCAGCCATGGAAGAACTCACGGCGTTTGTATCCAAGTCTTTTGACCAGAAAAGCAAGGACGGTAACGGCGGAGGAGGCGGCGGCGGCGGCGGAGGCAAGAAGGATTCCATTACGTACCGGGAAGTTTTGGAGAGCGGACTGGCGCGCTCCCGGGACCTGGGGACGTCGGATTCCAGCTCCAGGACCTCGCGGAGGCGGCGGCCACTGCCCGGTGCATTTGTTCAAGGACCACGTAGACAATGACAAGGAGAAACTGAAAGAATTCGGCCCCGCGAGAGTAGCAGAAGGTAAGCTCGTCTGCGCGCCGGCGGCTCCGGGGGGCCCCTCCTGGGGTTCGGCGCCTCCTCGCCACGGAGTCGGCCCCCCGCGCGCCCCTCGCTCTGCACATTGGCGGCGCTCGGATCGCCAGGGTAAGGCCCGGGCCAGCCAGGCTTTGCCTAAGAAAGAAAGGAAGGGAGGAGAGGACCCGGCCGGAGACGCGGGGAAGGCTCCGGGAGACCCGCCAGGGGTGGTGGGTGGGAGGTGTCGGGGAGGGGGGGACCCAGGGAGGGTCGGAGCGGGGGCCGCGGGGGTGGACTCCGACACGGGAGGGTCCCGGGCTGGGGTGGATCAGGCTGGGCCGGAGGGCCTGAGATTTCTTTTTCATTTTTTCCTTTTTTTTTTTTTGAGATGGAGTCTCGCTCTGTCGCCAGGCTGGAGTGCAGTGGCGCGATCTCGGCTCACTGCAACCTCCGCCTCCCGGGTTCAAACGATTCTCCTGCCTCAGCCTCCCGAGTAGCTGGGATGACAGGCACCTGCCACCACGCCCGGCTCATTTTTGTGTTTTTAGCAGAGACGGGGTTTCACCATGTTGGCCAGGCTGGTCTCGAACTCCTGATCTCAGATGATCCACCCGCCTCGGCCTCCCAAAGTGCTGGGATGACAGGCGTGAGCCCCCGCGCCCGGCCTGGGGCCCTGATTGCTTAGGATGTGGATTTGTGTCTCTGCCTGCCTGGCTTGTATTTACGGTCCCCCAGACGCAGAGAGGAGCTGTCTCCACGCGCCTTCCCAGCGCTCAGCGCCTGCCCGGCTCCCCCAGATCGCGGGAAGACTCGAGGCTGCGCGGTAGGAGACGGGAAGGCCCCGGGTCAGCTCGCTTCTGTGTCCTTTAAGGAACACTTTCTACATATATACATATATTTTTCCTTTGAACCTCGAGACTTGTCTTTGGTGAAAACTGTTTGGATCCATCCAATCCACTCCGGCGCCCGCAGGTGGCCGGGGATCTGGATGGGGCGCGAGGGGCCCGGGGAAGCTGGTGGTTTTCGCGGCACGTCCTCATTCAAGGCTGTCAGAGCGCAGCCGGTTGTGCGGGGGGCGCAGACCGGGCCCCGGGGCTCCCCTCTGGCCGTTCTTCCTGAAGCCTCAGGGGCGCATCGCCCCGTGTTGCAAATCAAGGAGTAAGAGGCTCCGGCAGAGGGTCTGGACCTGTGGATCGCTGTGCAAAGACTGGGCGCCGTACGTCTTAAGAATAAAATGGGCTGTAGCTGTGTCAGAGGCGCAGCTGGAGACGGCTGTAGGCGGTTTACAAAGCAGTTCCCGGTTTCCCACCGTCTACGAGGCAGGAGCTCGGCCTGTCTTATCTTAAGGGGTCGTCCCTGCACACTGCTACGGGGGGCACCCAGCGCTTTAATTCATATAGAGAGAGTTGGCCTTGCTGGACCCAAGGCTGGCAGCGACTGGAGGGCCTGCATTTAATTTAAGAGGCTGTGCAGTGCGCAGCAGGCCGGTTCTGTGGCGTTGCTTTTTGCCTGTCCTTCCCAGACACTGATTTCCTCTTCTCGCCTCCTCTCTCTTCTCCCCCTGGCCGTGCACCGGGGAGAGCAAAGTATCCTCCAGGTCTTTCCAAAGGGAGAGGAAAATAAAGACCAGGCCAAGGACCCAGGGCCCCAGGAGAGGAGACACAGAGAGTCCCCGCTACCCTTTGCCCTTGGCTGGGTGCGGAAAGACCGCCGGGGCAGGACTGCAACCCGTCCTGGTATTTCTTCATCAGATCCACGTTAAGGGGAGGTCGGAGGGCAGGGGAGATGGTCCCCGTGGGAACCTAGAGTTTTTGGGAACAGCGCGTCCCCGCTGAGCCTGGGATCCCGTGGCTTTTGCAAAGCCTGCCCACGCTTGAGGACTTTGAAGGCCAATTTGTCAGCTGGGCTCCATTCCTGGCGTTTTCAGACTGAGAGAAAGGAAGCAGGGAGAGCCGGGGCCGTCTCCAGGAAACGATTCACTTGGGGGAAGGAACGGACTGTTCTTACAGGCACGTGCCTTTCAGGAGGTGAAAGAAAATGTGAATTCCGTGTTGGGATAAGTGTCTAGGACTGAATCCAGCTCGGGGTGGTGGGGGGGGGGGGGGGGCCCTGGCGTGGGTGGTGGAAGGAAGGAAGACAGAACAGGGTACTTGCATTTACCCTGTTCCCTTGTAGACACGTTGGATTTGTCAGCTTTGCAAGGTTCTTGGGCGCAGTGGCTTGTTGGAAACTGTGTCCAGGCTGAACTTCCAAATGTCAGCCCCTTACCCTTGGCACCAGGGGACATGGAATTAGGGCGTGGGGTGCTTTTAATCTGTGCCCAGCAGGCCCGAGATAGGAACAGAGGGCCGTTGGAGATGCCACTTCCACCAGCCCTGGGTTGCAGGGGAGCGAGGGAGCCACGTTTTATTTAAACCCCGGAGCTTGGTCAGGGGCGGAATGTCTAAAAAATTGGGAAGGAAAATCTTTTCGCCTGGAAACGCTTGAGGGTTGACTTTTCAGCCCTTCTGACTCCCCCGCCCCCACCCCCTGCAAATACAGACAGGTCACCGTTATTGGAGACGAGAAAGTGCCATTTTTGGCACCCTCGTGGGGTGGGTGCCCAACCGCGCGCGTGTAAGTAACTGGGAAGGAAAGATTTCGGTGCACACGGTTCACCCCCAGACGCGGTGTTGCATTCGGGTACTCGGATACGGTTCTGCTGTGCTGGTCAGAAATAGGCTCCGGGTAGGGGCTCCCAGCTCCGGCAAATCCCAGAGGGACCCCCAGCCCCGCTGAGCTACAGCGGTGGCGATGGCGTCTCTCCGTGGGTCTAGAATCTGCCACTCGCCCCGGGCCCTCCCCGTGTCCTTCTCGGGCGCCCCGCGCGGGGACCCCGCCGTTTGCAGTTCTTCCTCAAATTCTTTCCCTTAAAAATAGGATTTGACACCCCACTTTCCAAAAAAAAAAAAAAAAAAAAGGTTAGGTTATGTCAACAGCGGCGAAGTGGATAATTGAGGAAACGATTCGGAGATGAGGCCGAGAAAACGACGTTCCTGCAAAGCCCAGGTTGTTGGGAAAGAAGCGAGTCTTCTCTCCTCGGCTTTTGCCTTGGGGACCCCACGCAGATTTTGCGTAAATGCGCATTGGTTTTCGAGGCCCCCCCTTTCCACCAAAAGAGGAACGAAAGGGTTCGCCACGTTGCGCAAAACCGCCCCGCACTGCGCGCCACGCTGCCTGCGCGGAGGACCCCGCGGGCCGTGCTGGGGGAGGCGGGCGCGGGCGGAGGGGACCCGGGGAGCCTTTGGCGAGGCGCTCCCGGCCTCAGCCCTGTGCCCTCCGCCCGCCACGCAGGGATTTACGAATGCAAAGAGAAGCGCGAGGACGTGAAGTCGGAGGACGAGGACGGGCAGACGAAGCTGAAACAGAGGCGCAGCCGCACCAACTTCACGCTGGAGCAGCTCAACGAGCTGGAGCGACTCTTCGACGAGACCCATTACCCCGACGCCTTCATGCGCGAGGAGCTCAGCCAGCGTCTGGGGCTTTCCGAGGCGCGCGTGCAGGTAGGAACCCCGGGGGCCCGGAGCCATGGCCTGGTCCTCGGGAGCGCACGGGGCCCGCGTACAGCCACCTGCGCCCGCCCGGGCCGCCGTCCTGTTCCCGGAGCGCGGGGAGGTTGGGGTGTGGGGCGGGTTGGGGTTCCTGGGCTTTTGGAGACGCCTGAGGCCTGGAGGATGGGTTCATTGGATTCGTTTGCACCAAAGGCAAACAAATATACACACATGTATGTGTTAGACAAATAACAGATAAATATATATGCTGTATAAATATATATAGTATAGATGATATATATTTGATTGTCCTTGGTGCAAACAAACCCAGCGAACGCGTATATCGGCCCCCTGATTCCCTTCGGTTCCCGTGGGGTCGGTTCTGGGAACCAACACATGCAAACAAAACTTTCCCTCGGTTTTACTTTAGGAGAGGAAGCTACAGATACGTTTCAGGCAGAGCGTTTTACAAGATCTTTCATTTAAAAAAATGTATCTGTTGGCCCCTGATTCCTTCGCGTCTTCCCGTGTGGTTGCATTGAAAAGGCTTTTGCGTAGGATGAACGGAGAGGGGTGCGCTCTGTTCCTAGGCGGTCAGAAATAGGGTCCTCTCCTTCCTCCTCTTTTAGCCCCGCTGTTTCTGTCTCCGTCCTCCCCTCGCCAGCCTTGTCCTGTGTTACACACCCTCCCCTCCTCCCTCCGGCTCTGGGGAGCGCAGGAGCACGTTGGGCATCTGGATGAGCGCAGACCATTAGCGGGGCACGGGGGCTCCCCAAGGAGCGCGCTAATTCACGGTGTCCCATCAGACCAGGCACCAAGGGCGGGGTGGGGGGCCTCTTGGGTGTGCGCAGAGGGACTCGCGGGCAGCGGTTTCCTGGGCATTGTAAACATTCAGTTAAAGGTATGAATTTAATTTTCTGGGTGCTGGTGGGAGAGTCTCCAAATGGCTTTTTTTCCAGCCCCTGCCTGACAGGGCAGCTTCCCCTGGAAGGTCAAGTCCTCTAGTGCTTTCTCCTGGTTCTGGGCAGGACAGAAGGGCCGAGAGAGAGAGAGAGAGAGAGAGAGAGAGAGAGACAGAGAGAGTCAGGATCTCCGGACCCTGGGGAACCCGTTCAAAAATAAATGAAATTAACATTGCCGACCAGGGAGAGACCGATTACAAAGCCAAAGGCGTTCAAAAGCAAAGACACCAGCCGTTCAAAGCCCAGTCCCGTAGGATTGGTTATGAGATCAACACATTTCAAACATCGCTTTCCCTGGATTTTTGCTTAGGAGACGAAGGTACAAATGCATTTGATGCAGAGCGTTTTACAAGATCTTTAATTTAAATATATACGTATACACACACACAGACATATATATATTTATATATAATATATATATTTATATATAATATATATTTATATATAATATATATATTTATATATATAATATATAATATATGAAATATAAATATATTATATAAATATATATTATATATAAAATATATATAAATATATAAATACATGTATAATATATATATAAATATATATATATATATTTATGTTTTGGTCCCTGATTCCCTTCGCTTCCCGTGGCATTGGTTATCCAGCCACCCCATTCAGACACAAAACTTGAGCGGACGAAGATACACGTGTGTTTGATGCACGGTGCGTTGTACAAGCTCTTTCACTGAAAAAATATAGTTTGGCTCCTGATTCTCCTCCGTCTTCCCATGTGGCTGCCTTTAAAAGGCCTCCCTGGGATCCTGAGGATTCAATAAACACTCCCCAGGCCTCTTGACTGAGAACCGTAGTCCCCCACCGCCAAAAAAAAGATACTGCCCAAGACAGGGAGATGCTTTGGTGATTTGGAAGGACCGTGTCCCTTCTCAGGGCGTCTGCGGCCTCAGTGAGGGAAGGAAGCTGTATCAATAGAGGGGTTTCCTCGCTGTCCACCCCTCTCTCAGAAGATGTATTGGACGGCCCGGTGTAAATTAATGAAAAGATTAAAGTTTTGCTAAAGGGGACACATCAAGTTTATGTCATCTCCTGGTGTGTGTTGTGCCTGGGATCCGGTCAGTGTATCCCCGGCCCTTGATGTACTGTTTCTATAAAAATAAATTACTTGTAATTGAATTCCACACTATTTCTTTCCGTAGTCTATTACCGACTCGCACCTCAGTTCAGTTGCAGAGAATTGGTGGGTGAGGTGTGTGTACAGACCCCGAGAAGGCCCTAAAATAAAGAACAGATGGGGAGAAGCCGGGGGTTATATGGACTCAGGGGTCACATGAAAATTTAACGACGGTAAATAATAATAAAAACAAACATGGGAATAGGATAAAAGACATCATTTTCTGTCTCTCTCGCCGCAGGGAAAAATCATCGTAGGGTAAAGGCGGGCAGGCCTTGGAGTCGTCATAAAAATCAATTAGTTCAAACACGGACGTCCCGTGGAAGTCGTGATGGTGGAGGGGACGGGGACGGGGAGGGAGAGAAAATGAACTAGATTTTAATCCCGTCTCTTCGTGAATTGTTGGATAATCTCTTTCAGGACAGCCCGTCCCGTGCTGTGAGCGGATAGAGTTTCCATTTGGGGTGGAAATTTGCTGTAAATAAATTGAGCATCCGATGGAAGCTGTTCCCGATTAACCTTTTATTTTTAGCGTCGCCCCTGCAAAGTCACATCACCCAGCTGTCAGGGTTCTAATGGAAACTTATGAGACCACGGCGAGGGGCGGGTGGTAATTTAATTACAACAAATATCTGTGGTTTATGGCGCAGAGCTAAATTAAATGTCATTATTCACTGTCTGTAATGGAAATCAAAAGGACATCGCGTTGCGGGCGTGGGGTGAAGGAAAAATCAGCGAGCGGTCCCTTAATGAAGAAATAACTGTCTAAACCAGTGTCACACACTTCACTTACCATATTCAGGCCTAATTGGAATTGATCGTGAATCACTCCAAGACTGATTTATTAGCACTTAACGCGGGCAGCTAATTCATCACTTTTATTCTTCATCATCTTTTATTTTCCCCCCTCCCCGTGTTGAACGAGGCTTTCCAGGTTTCAGTAGGATTTGTTTTTAGTTTGTTGTTTGTTTCACTAGGATTCTGTTTTTGTTTGTTTGTTTGTGTTTGTTTCAGTAGGATTTTGTTTTTGTTTGTTTCAGTAGGATTTGTTTTTGTTTGTTTCTTTGTTTCAGTAGGATTCTGTTTTTGTTTTTGTTTGTTTCAATAGGATTTTGTTTTTGTTTGTTTGTTTCAGTAGGATTTTGTTTTTGTTTTTGTTTATGTTTCAGTAGATTCTGTTTTTGTTTGTTTGTTTCAGTAGGATTCTGTTTTTTGGTTTGTTTGTTTTTTAAACGCCCTGCCAGAGGCTTTAGGGGGTCCGGCTGGCTTCCCGGACCGTGTACGAGGCAGGCGGAGAGTACTGGGAGCATTGACGGACACACTGGCAGTCACTTGGAGGTGGGGGTCTGAAGTGACTCTGGACACAGGCTTTGGAAAGGGGAGAGGAGCGATTGTTTGTGAATTTCAGTCTCAGCCGCAGGCCGGGACCTTTTTTTGGGGGAGGCGATGAGGCAGGATGTGACTTTGCTGGGAAACAGGATAAAAGTTTTCTAGGAGCGCTGCAGCCCCCGGGAGGGCCCACATTGGAAGGTGGGCGGGAGGCTCTGTCTTGGGTTCCAGACAAATGCATGTGGCCGTTGTGTAGACTCCCGGGTGCAGGTGCACCGGCTCCCCCCGGGGCCCTGTGGACCCAGCACGTGTTTTGCTCACAACAGTGTCTGTGTGAATTATTTGTCTTGGGCAGTGACTGCCGTGTCCGTCAGGGTGCAGGGTGGAGCTGCCACAGAAAGCCTGTTAGGAGGAATGAAGCGACTCAGACTGTCAGGAAGGTGGCCGTGGGGAAGGGGATGGGAGGCGTCCAGATTACCAGGCCTAGGTAAACTCCTTGTATTCCCCAGCTGGTCTGTCTGTGGAGGAGGGGACTGTCAACACTGGGGAGCGGTGGGGGCTTGTAGGAGGTGACAGGGGACGGAATTCGCCCCCAAATATTAACATGAGACCTGTGAGAATTTCTCCAGCCTCCGGAGGGTCCCCGGCTCTGTTGCACTCAACGTCTTCATAGCTTCCCCCAAGACTCAGAAGTCCTCAAGTGACAGAACGCCCCTATATGGCAAAGCCTGCTATCCTTGGGGTTCCTCTCTGGGATGTTCGTAACCCTTGCCATATGAGTGGGACCCCTTCAGCTCCCCAGGCTCCCAAGGAGGCCGAGGAGGGCAAGATATTTTCTGGGCTTGGTGTGTCCAGAGTTAGATTGGAGAAGGGCTGGATTTGGAGCCTTTGGCCATCTGGTGGCCCCTCTACCTTGGTGGCTAAAGTCTGCAGGTGGCAACTCGTGTTCTCCTACAGGGTGTACAGAATGCTGGAAAGTTCCAGAGTCCACTTCCACTGTCTCAGAACTCACTTGTTCAACTTCAGTTCATCAGTGATAATGGACGGGTCTCACTTAGGCAGGGCAGGGAGAGCTTAACATTTTCCAGTTCTAGGCCGGGTGCGGGTGGCTCACGCCTGTCATCCCAGCACTTTGGGAGGCTGAGGCGGGTGGATCGCCTGAGGTCAGGAGTTCGAGACCATCCTGGCCAACATGGTAAAACCCCGTCTCTACTAAAAATACAAAAATTAGCCTGGCGTGGTGGTGGGTGCCTGTAGTCCCAGCTATTTGGGAGGCTGAGGCTGGAGAATTGCTTGAACCTGGGAGGAGGAGGTTGCAGTGAGGCGAGATTACACCGCTGCACTCCAGCCTGGATGAGAGAGCAAGAGTCTATCTCAAAAACTAAACCGAATTTCCGGTTCTAGGCCGGGATTCAGGCTCACACCTGTAATCCCAGCACTTTGGGAGGCTGAGGTGGGGTGAATCACCTGAGGTTAGGAGTTCGAGGACCAGCCTGGCCAACATGGTGAAACCCCGTCTCTACTAATATACAAAATTAGCCTGGCGTGGTGGCGGATGCCTGTAGTCCCAGCTATTTGGGAGGCCGAGACTGGAGAATTGCTTGAACCGGGGAGGTGGAGGTTGCAGTGAGCCGAGATCACACCACTGCACTCCAGCCTGGATGAGACAGCAAGAGTCTGTCTCAAAAACAAAACAAAAAACAAAACCCAATTTCCAGTTCTAGGCCAGGATTCAGGCTCACGCCTCTCATCCCAGCACTTTGGGAGGCCGAAGTGGGTGGATCGCTTGAGGTCAGGAGTTCGAGACCATCCTGGCCAACATGGTAAAACCCCGTCTCTACTAAAAATACAAAAATGAGCCTGGCGTGGTGGTGGGTGCCTGTAGTCCCATCTATCTGGGAGGCTGAGGCTGGAGAATTGGTTGAACCCGGGAGGTGGAGGTTGCAGTGAGCCGAGATCACGCCACTGCACTCCAGCCTGGGTGAGAGAGCGAGACTCTGTCTCAAAAACAAAAAACAAAAATCAAAATACAAAAAAAAAGCAAAACCCAGTTTCCAGTTCTAGGTAGCCAGTTATGCAGGGTTGGAGACAGAGGGGCGGTGAGGGACTGGGGACCCCCATCGGTCGCTTCTGGACTCCCAGAGGTGCAAAGGGCTTGGTTCATCCTCACAGGAAGGGCGTCCCTGGCGAGGCTGGGCTGGGCGCGGAGGGTCCCACATCTCTTTCTGCTTCCCCCACAAGGTTTGGTTCCAGAACCGGAGAGCAAAGTGCCGCAAACAGGAGAATCAGATGCATAAAGGTGGGTGTTGGGACTTGGGGGGACCTGGAGCTGGGGGCGCCTGCTTGAGGATGGATGGGGGTAACGAGGTGCTGGCTGCACCCAGGACCACCACACTGACACCTCCTCCCTTTCGCCACAGGCGTCATCTTAGGCACAGCCAACCACCTGGACGCCTGCCGGGTGGGCACCCTACGTGAACATGGGAGCCTTAAGGATGCCTTTTCAACAGGTAGCTTGGTTTTTCTTCCTCTGAAGATCCCCAGGACCCGCCACCCCCTCCCCTTTCCCCTACTTGCTTGCCCCTCCCTGCCCCTGCAGACTTCTCAGTTGACCCCCAGAAAAAAACAAAAAAAAATCAGTGGCTTTTCCAAGGAGGTATTTACAGGCACCTTGACACGTATTAAATCAGGCTGGGCCGGCGCGTGGCTCAGGCCTGTCATCCCAACTTTGGGAGGCCGAGGCGGGTGGATCACCTGAGGTCAGGAGTTCGAGACCAGCCTTGGCCCACACGGTGAAACCGCGTCTCTACTGGAAAACACAAACGTAGCCGGGCGTCGTGGTGTGCACCTGTCATCCCAGGTACTTCGGAGGCTGAGGCACGAGAATCACTCGAACCCGGGAGCGAGGTTGCAGTGAGCGGAGATGGCGCCGCTCCACTCCAGCCTGGGGACAGAGTGAGACCCCAGGCTCCAACTCAAAACAACAAAAAAAAATCAGGCTGTTAAAACTCAGAGACCTTTTGGGAAAGTGAACACACACAAGCCCAAAGGGAAATCTTAACAAAAACCAGAGGGGTGACAAGTCCCACTCAGTCAGGCCGCCCCCCCCCACCTGGCTTGCTGTCTGGTAAGAACGGTGGGGGGATGCCTTCGCCTGATACCAGAGAATGGGATACGCATCCACTCCCTTTTCACCACACCCCCGAGTGTCCGAGGTCTGGGGCGTCTGCCTGGACCCTGGCCCCCTGGCCCGGGCTCTGCATACCCTACTCAGCTCCCCGCTGACTTTGAAGTGAGCAGCAGTTTGGGTTCCCAGCGTGGATTGCGGCTTCAGGGAGTGTCCGGGGGGGGGGTCGGTCGCGGAACCCAAGCGTCCCCAAGGGGGCCCCCTGCTCTGGTTTAGTGTGGGGGTGGCATGGGGGGAAGCGGGGAAACTGTGTGGAAGGAGGGGTGCACCGTCCCAGGACGAGAGAGCGCAGCGCCCCACGTGCGCCCTGCCGGAACGCAGCCAGCGCCTCTGCGCGCCCTTCGGTCCCCTAATCTGGGGATCGGGACCATGCGGGGAACGGAGTTGGGGGGCTCTGGCAGGGCGGACGCGGGCCTCTGTTCTTGACCGTTTGATCCCAAGGGGGACAGCTGGGGTTTGTATTTGGGCCGCGTGTTTGGCGAAGGGCTGCAGGTACCACCCGTCTGGCCGCAGCCTCTGCTGGCTGAGGGTGCAAAGGCTTGGGGGGGTGGCGGTGGGAGTGGAAGGTCTAAAAGCCTAATCAAAATTACGACTCAGAAATGGACCCGAGCGCTGGTCGCCACGAGCTATCCAGCTCTCCATGGCGCAGGCCCGAAGGAGACCGGTCCGCATCCCTCCGCGGTTCTCCTCTCCTGGGACTTGGCCTCGAGGTGGGGGAAGGGGCCCACTTCTTCTACCGTCTTTTGCCGACGGCAGGACCCAGTGAAATTAGGCCGTTGGAGGCCTCAGGCCTGCCTGGCTTTGCGCACCGGAGCCTTGGGGACCTGGTGTCCCGGGAGAGCCTTGGGATCGGGACCTGGGAGAGCCTTGGGGACCTGGTGTCTCGGGAGAGGCTTGGGGACCTGGTGTCCTGGGGAGAGCCTTGGGGACCTGGTGTCCCGGGAGAGCCTTGGGGATCTGGTGACCTGGGAGAGCCTTGGGGACCTGGTGACCCGGGAGAGCCTTGGGGACCTGGTGTCCCGGGAGAGCCTTGGGGACCTCGTGACCCTGGAGAGCCTTGGGGACCTGGTGGCCTTGGAGAGGCTTGGAGACCTGGTGTCCCAGGAGAGCCTTAGGGACCTGGCGTCCCGGGAGAAGCTTGGGGACCTGGTGTCCCGGGAGAGGCTTTGGGACCTGGTGACCTTGGAAAGGCTTGGGGACCTGGTGACCCGGGAGAGCCTTGGGGACCTGGTGTCTTGGGAGAGCCTTGGGGACCTGATGTCCTGGGAGAGGCTTGGGGACCTGGTGTCCCGGGAGAGGCTTGGGGACTTGGTGACCCGGGATAGGCTTGGGGACCTGGTGGCCTTGGAGAGGCTTGGGGACCTGACGTCCTGGGAGAGGCTTGGGGACCTGGTGTCCCGGGAGAGGCTTGGGGACCTGGTGCCCTGGGGAGAGGCTTGGGGACCTGGTGACCCGGGAGAGCCTTGGGGACCTGGTGCCCTGGGGAGAGGCTTGGGGACCTGGTGTCCTGGGGAGAGCCTTGGGGACCTCGTGACCCTGGAGAGCCTTGGGGACCTGGTGTCTTGGGAGAGGCTTGGGGATCTGGTGACCTGGGAGAGCCTTGGGGACCTGGTGACCCGGGAGAGCCTGGGATCGGTGTCCTCGGGAGAGGCTTGGAGACCTGGTGTCCTGGGGAAAGCCTTGGGACCTGGTGTCCGGGAGAGCTTGGGGATCTGTGACCCGGAGAGAGACTTGGGGACCTGGTGGACCCGGGAGACGCTGGACCTGGTGTCCTGGGGAGAGCCTTGGGGACCTCGTGACCCTGGAGAGCCTTGGGGACCTGGTGGCCTTGGGGAGGCTTGGAGACCTGGTGTCCCAGGAGAGCCTTAGGGACCTGGCGTCCCGGGAGAAGCTTGGGGACCTGGTGTCCCGGGAGAGGCTTGGGGACCTGGTGATCTTGGAAAGGCTTGGGGAACTGGTGACCCGGGAGAGCCTTGGGGACCTGGTGTCTTGGGAGAGCCTTGGGGACCTGACGTCCTGGGAGAGGCTTGGGGACCTGGTGGCTCAGGAGAGGCTTGGGGACTTGGTGACCCGGGATAGGCTTGGGGACCTGGTGGCCTTGGAGAGGCTTGGGGACCTGGTGTCTCGGGAGAGCCTTGGGGACCTGGTGTCTCGGGAGAGCCTTGGGGACCTGGTGACGCGGCAGAGCCTTGGGGACCTGGTGATCCAGGAGAGCCTTGGGGACCTGGTGTCCTGGGGAGAGCCTTGAGGACCTCGTGACCCTGGAGAGCCTTGGGGACCTGGTGACCCGGGAGAGCCTTGGGGACCTGGTGACCTGGAAAGGCTTGGGGACCTGGTGACCCGGGAGAGCCTTGGGGACCTGGTGCCCTGGGGAGAGGCTTGGGGACCTGGTGACCCGGGAGAGCCTTGGGGACCTAGTGTCCTGGGGAGAGCCTTGGGACCTGGTGTCCTGGGGAGAGCCTTGGGGACCTGTTGACCCGGGAGAGCCTTGGGGACCTGGTGTCCTGGGAAGAGCCTTGGGGACCTGGTGACCCTGGAGAGCCTTGGGGACCTGGTGTCTTGGGAGAGGCTTGGAGACCTGGTGTCCCGGGAGAGCCTTGGGGACCTGGTGACCCGGGAGAGGCCTGGGGGCCTGGCGTCCCGGAGAAGGCTTGGGGACCTGGTGGCCTTGGAGAGGCTTGGCGACCTGGTGTCCCGGGAAAGCCTGGGACCTGGTGTCCTGGGGAGAGCCTTGGGGACCTGGTGACCCGGGAGAGGCTTGGGGGCCTGGCGTCCCGGGAGAGGCTTGGGGACTGGTGACCCGAGAGAGCTTGGGACCTGGGTGACCCGGGAGAGCCTTGGGGACCGAGGCCTTGGAGAGGCTTGGGGACTGGTGTCCGGGAGAGCCTTGGGACTGGTGACGCGGCACAGCCTTGGGCCAGGGGGAAGGAGCACAGTCGGGTGTGGGATGGTTTCCAGGGCTGGAGAAGGGGGCGACGCTCCCTAGGGGAGAATGAGGGCACGTTTGTGGATTCGGGGGGGTGGTTGGGACGGGGAGGCCCCAGACCCCAGCCTGAGCGCTACGCCACGGGTCGCTCCTGTCAGGTCAAAGCTCAGCTGCAGCTGGAAGGCGTGGCCCACGCGCACCGCACTGCACCCGAACCTGGCGCGCACGCGCCCTACCTGATGTTCCCCCCGGCCTTCGGCTGCCCATCGCGGTCGCTGGCCGAGTCCGCCTCGGCCGCCGCCGTGGTCGCCGCCGCCGCAAGAGCAACAGCAAAACTCCAGCATCGCCGACCTGCGCTCAAGGACGCGGAAGCACGCGGCGGCCTTGGGGTCTGACCCGCCGCGCAGCCCCAGCCGGCACCCGGGATCCCGGGCTCCGCGCGCCCCCGCCTGCACCGCGCGTCCTGCACTCAACTCCGCCTGGAGCTGCTCCGTGCGCCCCGGGAGCTCTGCAACAGGCCTGGGAGGAGGCTCCCGGACCGTCCACGCGCGACCCCTACGGAGACGGTGCAGAAGGCGGAGCGCGTGAGCGGCCGTGCGCCCTGCTCGGGCTCTCCAAGGCTACCCGTGCGTCTGGGGACCCTGGAGAAGGGTCAACCCTGCCTGGCTGCGTCTTCCTCTGCTCTAACCCTATGCATGCGGTGAACGACCCAAACGTGTGGAAGATCCTAGAGTCTGGTGAACCTGCAAAGATCCGGGGGCTGGGTTCTCCGATGAAAAGGGCCGCGTGTCTTTCGTTGCCAACGGTTTTCTTTACCTCCATATACTCCTTCCTTCGTCCCAAGAGCTGTGTGGATTTGAATGTGGACTTTGGAATCCCAGGAGGCGGGAGGGGGCCGGGCTGTCCTCCCACGGCACCCCCCCCCGCCCCAGCATCCCGAGGCAGCAATAAGGGACAGTTTTGTGGCTGTGTGGCTGAGGACGTGAACCGGGGGGACTTGGAAGGGGAGGGAGGGAGATTCGAACCTCCACGTTGTGACCCACGTTCGAGAACCACGATGCTGATGCTGGTGACCACGTTGGTCCACTCACTGGGAGAGTGGGGAGGCCTGGTGCCCTCGAACGGGCCACTTGACACCCTTTTCCAGTATTTGCTTCCCTCACTTGACTGCGTTTTGTTTTTTGTTTGTTTGTTTGTTTGTTTTTGTTTGGGATTTGCTTTTCTGTGTTTTACAGAATTCAGACGCGTCATGACTCGCCCGAGAGCGGGCGCGCGGTTGGAATCCTAAGCAGCATTAACTTTAATAACATGGAATGACGTGCATACTATATAAAGATAATAGATTAAAAAATAATAATAAGAATAAGAACGTAAGGCGTTGCCTCTTCTCGCAGCGCTGGCCGCCCTGGCCACCGAGGGGTCCCGTTGCACAAATATGAGTGTGGACATCGCCCTGGGCCCGGTGCAAGGGTGGGTTTGTGTGTCTGAAGGGATGAAAGGGAGCAGAGGATATAGTGGCCTGGGTATCAGTTTGGTACTGAGCTGTTTTGTCTGGTTGGGAAGCGTCAAAGTTAGGGGAGATCCAGAGACTTTCAAGGTTTTTTGCAGACGTAGGTGGTTCCAGGTTTTTTGTCTTTCTCTTCTACTCCATCTTCTGCATTTGGGCCAGTTTTTCTTTTTGTTTCTTCTGTTTTCTTTTTGTTTGTTTGTTTGTTTGTTTTGGAGACGAGACTTGCTTCGTAGCCCAGGCTGGAGTGCACTGGCTCCATCTCAGCTCACTGCAACCTCCCCTCCAGGGTTCAGTCTCGCGAGTGGTAGCCGGGACTACGGCATAGGCCACCACGCCCGACTGATTATTTTGTGTTTTTAGCAGAGACGGGGTTTCACCGTGTTGGCCAGGCCGGTCTCGAACTCCTGACGTCAGCTATTCTCCTGCCTGCCCCCCAAGTAGTTGGGATGACAGGTGCACCGCACCACGCCCGGCTATTTTTGTGTTTTTAGCAGGATGGGGTTTCACCGTGTTGGCAGGCGGTCTCGAACTCCTGCTCAGGGGATTGCCGCCTGGGCCTCCAAGTGTTGGATGACGGTGCACACAACGCCCGGCTAATTTTTGTATTTTTAGCAGAGACGGGGTTTACCATGGTTGGCCAGGCTGGTCTCGACAGTCCTGACTCAGGTGATCCACCCGCTGGCCTCCACCGTGCCCCCTATAGTTTTATAACAGCAGATAGAACTTGTCCTCACCGCCGGATGGACTGGACGGTTGCTTGAATGACTCCACCAAGAACATCCAGAATGTTCTGATGGTTTCCTGGAACATAGCAAAGGGGTTTGCTGACCTCCCAGAAGTTTCATCTGCTGATTTGCCTCGTCACCCGGGTCTGCCCAAAGAGAACGATATTTCTCTCGACTTTACTAACGTTCGTGGCCAAGTTCTTATTTCCAAACCACTTTTGCCTCTTTCGGATTCGACCTTGGCCGTTTTTTCTTTCCTACGTCTGATTGAGATACTTCTCCTGAGGTGGGGCTAAAAAAAAACCTAAAAACCAAAACGAAACTTCTTTTTTTTTTTTTTTCTTCCACATAACACTTTCTATCTCGTCACGAAATGTAGACACATTTGGACCCATTTCATTTCTATCTCGGATACTCCTTACACACATACCAAAGGCCCTTCAACGTTTTTTTTTCAAATGTTAGAACTGCTGTAAATGAGAGAGAGAGAGAGAGAGAGGGAGGGAGAAAAAGAATGCAAATTAAATATTTTTCAATCAGTTGCAAGTTCTTTTTTTTCCCAGACGTTAATGGCTTAGAAGTTTGTCTCCTTTAGCATTTTTTTTTTTTAAGCTGGAAATTTAAAAGAAAGCGAGAGAGAGGATTTTATCGTTCAGATGAAATTGTATCTAAAGAGGAATTGCATTTTGAATATTTGGGAGCAGGTTTTCGTTCGTCGGAGTGTGTAACCTCAGGAAAAGGGGGTTTGGGAAGCGGTGTACGGCCCTAGATATTTTTTGTTTTTTTTTTTCCCCCCGAAAAAGAGCTGAGTAATTTTGAAAATGGAACATAACATTGTCATCATTTCCTCCGGACAAAACTCACTCCCCGTGAGGGTAGACACACGTCAGTCCTGTAAATCTGAACTTTTCTTTTTAAGAGACGGAGTCTCACTCTGTGGCCCAGGCTGGAGGGCAGTGGTGCGATTCGGTCAGCACACTCCGCTCCCGGTTCAAACCAGATTCTCTGCCTCAGCTCGCTGGGATTACAGGACTGCACCCAGGCCAGCTAATTTTTTTTTGTATTTTTGTAGGGTTTCGCCGTGTTGGCCGGGCTGGTCTCAAAACTCCTGACCTCAGGGGATGCACCCGCCTCGGCCTCCCACACTGCTGGGATGACAGGCCTGAGCCACCGCACCTGGCCTGTATCTGAACTTGTAAAAGGCACCGTCCACCCTGCTGGGACGCTTGGGGCCTCCGGGCCTGCCAGGAGGAGGCCTACGTGTTTTGGTTTGATTTAATATGGGAAAGAGAGCCGAGCTTCCCCCTCACGAATGGGCCCCAAAGCAGAGCAACCACAGAACGTGCGGGGAGGACACTCGTGTCTGTCCAGACCGGCGGTCTTTGCTTGTCTCCTGCGAGAGAAGCTGGGTGACTTTCTGTGGGGCTGGATCAGTGGCTCCGGACAAGGGGACGGTGTGCTGGTTTCTTTTTTTCTCCCCGAAACTCCAGGATGGAAGGAAATGAGAAATTCAGCTTGGACTGTGACCAGTCCTCACCACCGACGCCCTCTCTCCCTCCTCCTTCCTTCCTTCTCTTCTTTCTCTCTCCTTTTTTCTTTTTCTTCCTTCTTCTTTTTCTTTCTTCTTTCTTTTTCTTCCTTCTTTCTTTTTTTCTTTTCTTTTCTTTCTTTTCTTTTTCTTTTTTCTTTCTTTCTTCTTTTATCTTTCTCTCTTTCCTTCCTCTTTCTTTTCTTTCTCTTTCTTTCTTTCCCTTCTCTTTCTTTTTCCTTCCTTCCTTCTCCCTTTCTTCTTTCTTTCTTTCTTTCTCTCTCTTTCTTCTTTCTTTCCTTTCTATTCTTCTTTCCTCCCTCTTTTTCTTTTTTCCTTCTTCCTCTCTCTTTTCTTTTCTTTCTTTCTTCTTCCTTTCTTCTCTCTTTTCTTTCTTTCTTTTTTTTCTTTTCTTCTCCCTTCTTTTTTCTGTTTCTTCTTTCCTTCTTCTCTTTCTTTTCTTCCTTCTTTTTCTTCTTCTTCCTTCCTTCCTTTCTTCTCTCTTCTCTTTTTTCTTTTTCTTCTTTCTTCTTCTTTCTTTCTTTTTTTCTTCTTTCTTTCTTTCCTTCCCCTTCCTTCTTCCTTCTTCCTTTTCTTTTTCTTTCTTTCTTTCTTTTTCTTTCTTTCTGTCTCTCTCCTCCTTCCTTTCTTCCTTCCTTCCTTCCTTCCTTCCTTCCTTCTTTCTTTCTTCTTTCTTCTTTCTTTCTTTTTCTTTCTTTCTTTCCTTTCTTTTTTTCTTTTTCTTCCCCGTTTCTCTTTCTTTCTTCTTGAACGAAGTCCCGCTGTGTCGCCAGGCTGGAGTGCAGTGGTGCCAGTCTCGGACTCGGCTGCACCTCTGCCTTCCAGGTCAAGCGACTTTCCCTGCTCAGCCTTCCCGGGGGACTGGATTGCAGACAGAACATGCGAGACCACCACCGCCCGGCTCACTTTTTCTATTTTTTGGAGTAGAGACGGGATTTCGCGCCATGGTGGCCGGGCTGGGTCTCGATCTCACTGCTCAGACGATCCACCCGCCTCGGCCTCCCCAAGTGCTGGGACACGTTTGCCTGAACGTTCAGTGTGGAAATGGCTCGTGTGTCTCCCCACAGGATGTGAGACGTTGAATTTATGGGGTGGGCCTACGTTGGCGGTTCCCGGTGCTTTTTGCTGGAAACAAGGTTCTATTCAAAGTCAACATTGGTTTCCCAGTGGCTTTCGGCTGAGCTCGCTGTGGCAAAGCCAGGAATATCGCCGGGATAGCGAAGGGGGGCTGAATTTCCTCGTAACGTGATTTCATAGAGAGAGAGAGGGTTTGGTTTGTGAGATCCACGGGAGCCCCGGCCCGTCGAGAGAACACGTTGCTGTGGCCGAACTGAGCCATGTGGGTTGAGCCCTGATACGTATGTTCCTTCCCCCACCCCCACCCCCGAAAACTTGGCCAAAGGGTCCGTGGAGGTGTCGGTGCACTTCCTTCTTCGTGTGAGCGTTCTGGTGATGTCCATCTCTGACACATCCACGTTTCTCTCTCTCTCTTTTTTTTCTCTCTCTCTCTCTCTCTGACGACAAAGCACCCAGAGGAGAAGGGATTGGATTTATTGATGTGGGGACTGGATTTTCTTTCTCCGGTCGCCTCTCTGACGGGTGCCTACTTTGCAAAGGTCTGTTCCCGGGAACTGGCAGGAGTTACCAAAATGCACCTTGTCTGGTGGGGGTGGGCTGGGGGTACAGCTGTGATTTAACAATCAGGGGCGACAGAGGGCCCGTGGCTGTGGCCTCGTTCTCCAGCACCGGGAACAAAGAGGTGGGACAGAGTCTGTGTGTCTGTGCGACTGACGGGGAAACGGAC